CAAACACACCACTAGGCTCCGTACATCCACACACCGCGGCCACTTCACAACTGAAACTCCTTTTCTCCCAATGTCCCAATACTTAAACCCATATTATTTTCACCATCATCATTTCCTTTAATCATTTTTTGTCATTTTTTACAAACTCAAATCATAATTTTAAAGGCATTTTATTCCCATTTTTAAATACATTTTTAGTCCCAATACTTAAACTGATATTATTTCCACCAGGATCATTTTCTCTCATAATTTTTTGTCAGTTTTTAGAAACTCAAATCATAATTTTAAAAGCTTTTTTCCCCCATTTTTAAATATATTTTTAGTCATTATTTTCCTTCCTCGTCTTTCACTGTCCGTCACAATCTCTGTTCTTTTATGGACGGTTTTGGTGTCGCTGAAGTCCAGAAGGAGCAAATCTCCATTCAAATACTGAATCCACCGATGGGGCGACTCATGGGGGAAAAGTCCAGGGGTGTTTTTTTTGGTCCCAGTCGGTCCGTGACAGAACATCGGGTCTGAACACAGAACACGTCTCTGTCTCCTCAAATGTGTTTCCATAGAATGATTCTTTGAAGTGACTCTTGTGTTGTTGTTTGTTTTCGTGCAGGGAGCTCAGACCTGACTGCAGACACCAGAGTGTTCCAGAGGTTGTACCGGCTCTGTGCAAGGCCAGGAGTGACAACCAAATATAAACACCGATTTCATTATTATTAGAATTTTATTAATACAGATTATTATATTTAATTATTTTATTGATATTGAATATTTTGTTTGTTGAAAATAAAAAAATGTTAGAAGGAGCTGTGTGGTTTCCTTTGAGTCTCCAGATTCAAAGCTCAAAAACTTAAAAGTGAAAGTCTCTCTGATGTGAACGTTTCTCCCTAAACCCCAGAACCTGCAGCTGATCCTGAGTCAGTGCTAGTGCAGCCTCTGCAGCTCAGGGAAGAAGGAAGTCTGCAGGTTCTGATCTCCACATGAGACGTGAACACAAACTGAGACTGAGACTGAAAATGAAAATGCACTATTTCTGTTCTAAACATATTTAATTTAGAAGTTAAAAAAAACATTTTAATTTGATTTAATTGAAGTCTTGAAATGAGAAATGCAGGTCCAACATGAAAAAAAAACACAATAAAACAGACACAAGGATCAACTTCAAGACTTTTATTAAAATGTTTCATTTTCTTCAACAGCAGCAGCAGAAAACCTTTAAAACAAATAAATAGAATAATGAAATGAAATTTACATTTTCATTAGTCACTGAATCTATTTGCATTTTAATTAATATATTTTAATTATAATATTTGTTAATTTACCTTTTACAGATAAACTTACATTGTTTAAAATTTTAGCTGATTTAACATTTGACTAATTTATTTTTATTCTTTTATTCACACTTACACACACACACACACACACACACACACACACACACACACACACACACACACACTACACACACACACACACACACACACACACACACACACACACACACACACACACACACACACACACACACACACACACACACACACACACACACACACACACACACACACACACACACACACACACACACACACACACACACACACACACATACACACACACACACACACACACACACACACACACACATACACACACACACACACACACACACACACACACACACACACACACACACACACACACACACATGCACATACACACACACATACATAGATCCACACATAGTAAAACATGAGGCTGAATCCAGGTGAACCAGTTGAGAAAACCTCATCAGAGGAGCTTCTACATCAGGAGCAGAGAGACGTCCACCACCACCAGGAACCACCACAGGCTCCAGGGGAGAGATGAAGCCCAAACACCTGAGGCCCAAACACCAACCCTCCACCAGGAGCCCACAGGACAGACCCCGACAGCCACAGCCCACCTCTGCTCCTGATGCAGAGGCTCCTACAGAGGAAACACTGGAAATCCTCAAAATAGGCCGAAAATACAGAAATATAATCAAATGTGTACAATAAAAACAAGTAAAAGTAGAAGATTTCAATCAAAAGCTGAGCTAAAAAAGGTGGGTCTTGATTCTGCTCTTAAAAACATGAACGTTCTCTTTGGCCCTGAGCTCCTCCGGCTGCAGGTCCATAAACGGGGGCCGTAGTTCTGGAAAGACGCCTCCTCTCCGTGAGTGTGTGTCCTGACTTTGGGAATGAGCAGGAGCTGCTGCCGGAGGAGCGCAGGGTCCACGAGGGTTCGTAGGGTAAAAGCAGTTCTGAAAGATAAGAAGGTCCAAGACCATGAAGACATTTAAAAACCAGTAAAAGAACTTTAAAATGGATCCTGAAACTCACAGGAACCAGTGCAGTGATTTTAAAACTGGTGTAATGTGGTCCCACCTCTGGTCCTCGTCAGGACTCGTGCTGATGAAGTTTGTAATAATTGCAAACCTGAAATAGTCTTTTTGGGAAGAGCAGAGAGCAGGACATTACAGTCGTCTGTTCCACTGGTGATAAAAGCATCAGCGTCTCTGTGTCGGCCCCAGACAGAATGGGACAGACTCTGGATATGTTTTTTAGGTGATAAAAAACAGTTTTTGTGATGTTCTTAATGTGTGGGATCAAATTCAGCTCAGAATCAAAAAATGGGTTAAGACTGTGTTTGTAGTTTGGGTAAAAGTTTCTCTCTCTGGGCCTCAAGACCAATGACTAAAAGCTCAGTTTTGTCCTGGTTAAGCTGGAATGAACTCTGCATTCAGTTTAGTTTGTTTTCATTGATATTTTGTATGGAGTAAGAAGCTGTCAAAAATATTTGTGCGCATAAAATAGAAATCCGTGCATATTTGGTAAATCCGTGCATATTTGGTAAATCTGTGCATATTTGGTAAATCCGTGCATATTTGTCTGTAGTTGCGCATAAAATAAATATTTGTAAACTCTTAAATGAGTCCAGTCGTACATAAAATATATTGTGTGTATTTTATCCATCAGAATACGAATTGAAAAGTTACGACGTCAAGAATTACAATCACCAAATGAAAATTTACGATTACACTTTCATCAGTACGAACACGAATTCACAGACGGAATTTTACTGTCAAAAATACGTCATCACTTCACAGACATTATCCATCGAGCAGAAGAAACATCGATCAAGATCAAGACTGAGCAGCTCAAGTTTGTATCAGAGTAAAAACAGAGTAAAAGCACAAGAAGCTACAACAGAACAACAAGTGGGTTCATTCAAATCTATTGTAAAAATGTCTTGAATTCGGGAACCGAACGCTGCTGTGTGATATTGTGTAGAAACACCTCCTCTGAACGGGAAATTGCACCTATATGTTAGAAAACATAGTGGAGCCAGTTGGAAACATCAGACATAACGTTATCCCAGGACTAATGAGCAAATGAGCACGGATTTCTATTTTATGCGCACGAATATTTTTGACAGCTTCTTACTCCATAATTTTGTCTCTTATAAACACAGTAAGTCGTAAGTGAAACTGTTGCTTTTCTTTCTTGACGTCGTGTCGTTGTTTAATGGAGTTTGGCCTTATAAATACTTTTGACTTCAGCCTAAACCCTTTGGCTCATGATCCGTGGGGATGTCGTCTCTGTTTTTTTGTGATGCTGCAAAATGAGCCAATAAACTCCAGTTCCTCGTGTGTCCAGTAGATGGCGCCACAAACACAGGTGAGCCGGTAGCGTCTGCTGCACTCATTTAATGAGGCCCAAACCAAAGGCAGGAATGCAAAGGACAAACACACAGACGTTAGCGCTGAGTAAATCTACCTGTAAAATGAGTTTGGAAGTGGAATAAAAGGAGTGAAAATCTTGTCAAGGCCCTGGGGACACAATAGTGTCAAAATGATGTGGCTGAGTTCAGAAGTGAAGTGAATATTCTGTTGAACTTCAGTAACACAATGAGAAGCCTCAGGTAGATTGTAAATGCACTTGGCTCATTTATTTGATTAGATCAATGTCCAAATGGAAGTGAACAGTAGATTCATAAATACATTCAGAAAAGAGTCATTTCATCTTTGAAATGTTCAACACAAAATGGAATCATTGAATCAAATTGGTCATTGTGTTTAAATCTATGGCACAATGTATTGTAATGATGTCAAATGTGCTCAAATCCAATGGAGTTAAAGGAGCTCCACTTTCAAAAGTCCACATTATTTAGCTCTTCAAAACTATTGATTGATTCATTGGATTTGATAGAAAAGAAAACAATCTTCATTGTCCTTCATATGTCGAGTCATTTCAATTCTATCAAAATAAGTTCTTGTTTAGATTCAAATATTCATTGATCAAATGTGACATTATTTCAAACAATGTAGGAGTTGTGTTTTGTTTCATTCACATGTTTAACACACAAACCCTGCACATTTAGACTGACGGGAGGGCATCTGACACACAGGGATACAGGAGGACGGGAGGGCATCTGACACACAGGGATACAGGAGGACGGGAGGGCATCTGACACACAGGGATACAGGAGGACGGGAGGGCATCTGACACACAGGGATACAGGAGGACGGGAGGGCATCTGACACACAGGGATACAGGAGGACGGGAGGGCATCTGACACACAGATACAGTGAGACACAGTTGCATAAAAGTGTTTATTTACATCAATGTAGAGATTCAGACGCCCATCACCAGTTCACTGTCAATTCTGATTTTCTTTACAATAACTCAGGTTCCAAACTATAAGGAGACCAACTTGGGACTTTTCAGTCCAGTTCCAAATACAGAGTCAAAAGTATCCACAGTCAAATGTACACAAATAAAGTACACATACTTCAAAATGATACTTAAGTGCAGTACTTTTACTTTTGTACTTTGTCACCGCTCAAAGTCTCCACTGCAGTGAGAACCAGAGGAGCAGAGTTTGATCCTCCTTCATTTAAACAGGGACTGAAAAATGGAAGCAGCTTCTCCCTGAAGCAGCAGTCAGTGAAGGAGTAGAGGAGATCTGCAGAATCTGCATCATAAAAGGAGACCAGACCCTTTCCATAGTCCACAAACACCCCGACCTTCTGAGGAGCTCTCTGAGGAGACAGACGGGTCCAAGAGTCAGTACAAGCGCTGTACTCATCTTTGTTTCTTAAGCAGATGCACCACAGTCCATCTTTGGGACATAAAGTGATCTGTCCCTTCCTGTTGATGGACTCTTGGGCCACTCCTAAATCCCACTCTGTTTTCCCTTTGACCTGAACCTCAAAGTAAAACCTGCCTGAAGAGAAACTCTGTTTTCCTAAAACCATAACACATGTATCAAACCTCAGAGGAGAATCTGGGAGATTCTTCCTCACATCAGTGTGATGAACCTGTTTGAGATCTTCAGACAGAACGAGTTTAGGATGAGCCGTGTCTGGGTCCAGAGTCACCTCCACCGCACTCTGCTTCACTCTCAATAGTTCGGCCTTAAAGTGTTTGTTAAACTCCTGAGGGAGACTGTTCTCCAGCTCAGACAGAGCCCGGGACACACTGCCCTCACATGTCTCCGGCTCAAAGTTCACGCTGCTCCACTCCTTAAGCCCAGCAGGGGGCGTGAGTGCAGGGCAGCGCTGTAGAAAGTGGAGGGGGTCATGAGAGCGTGAGAGACGTTGGGCCTCAGCGCTGCTCTGCTCCAGATCACAGATCTCCTGCTCCAGCCGCTGCAGCAGATCCTGGGCTCGTCTGTGGCTCCGGCTCTGCTTCTCCTGGAGCTCCTCTAAGAAGAGGTCCATACTCCTCTGAACAGACTGCATGAGAGCAGTGAAGACCTGCAGCCCCGCAGCCCTCTCTCTGAGGACCTCTGTCTCACTCAGCTCCAGGAGGCTCTGGATCTCCTGGATCTTCTGCCTCCTCTGCTCCACCATGTGCTGGCTCTGAGCCTGAGTCTGCAGCAGAGAGGACCTCCTGCGCTCACACGCCTCCTCCAGAGACAACAACTCATGGTTCTTGTGATCTAGAACGGAGCACATCATGCACACGATCTTCTCATCAGTGGAACAGAAGAGCATCAGGGGTTGTTGGTGTGTGGGACACATCCTGTCTTCCAGGTTTTCCACAGGCTCCATCAGCTGGTGTCTTTTCAGCCCAGAGACTGTGAGATGAGGCTGGAGGTGGCTCTCACAGAAGGAGCACAGACACACCAGGCAGGACTTGAGGGCCTTCAGCTTGGGCTCAGAGCACACGTCACACTGCACCTCTTTAAAGTCAAACATCTTCTCCATAGATCTGCTCTTGTTCTTCTGCAGGTTAGACTCTGAGACCAGCTCCTTCAGGAGCGTGTTGACCTTGAGCTGTGGTCTGCTGTGGAACATCTCTTTACACACAGGACATGTGCAGGGTCCATCAGTGTCCCAGGCCTGAGAGATGCAGCGTCGGCAGAAGTTGTGTCCACATGGAGTGGACACTGGCTCAGAGAACACCTCCAGACAGATGGAGCACAGGAACGTCTCCTCAGAGCTCCTTTCACTGGTGGAGGACATGTCTGAAACAGAGCAACAATAGTGACCATCAAACTAAAGGCTCTTACAAGTGAAAACTCTTATTGTGACAGGAAAGAGGTGAAGAGCTTTTATTTTGGAAGGCTTCAGGAGGATGTGGTGAGGAAGACTGGACTAGAAGAATATGATGGTGTGGTGACCAGAGACTGTTTGGTTGTGACTAATATCGAAGACGGTTTAAGGAAAAGGCTGAGACTCAATTTCACCGTGACGACAATAAAAACAATATTTGTGTGAGACAATAGAACGTCATTTGAGCTCAAAAACACGGCAGTGTCCTGAAGATGACATCGCCGTAACTATTCTAAGCACAAGTGTTGAGAAAAGGTCACATTTGATCCTGCTCATGTGTTTTTCACACTCACTTCTTGTTTCACTTGTGATACTTGTGATCAGTTGGTATCTGGGTGATAAGAGTCAGGTCTGTGGAGATGCGAGCTCAAAGTAACAACGCTTGTTTTTCACTGCGATCGACACAACCAAAAGGAAACAACATGCTCTGATTTGAGTGGAGTTTGGGCTGAAAAGTGACAGACTGTGGCTTTAAATGAGTTCAGAGGTGGGAGAGTCTCCAAAAACTGTACTCGAGTAAGAGTAACGTTACTTCAAAATAATATGACTCAAGTAGAAGTACAAAGTGGTGTCCATGAAAGTAGTGAAGTAAGAGTAAGTTAAAGAGTAAGTGTCAGGACGTGAGTCAAAGTCTTGTAAAGTGAAAGTAAAGTGTTGGTTTCACTCTCGTCTGTTTGAACAAAACTAAAGTTGAACTGAACCAAATCAGTGACGACGAAAACAACAGAATCTAAAACAAGACCAAGACCAAGACCAAGACCAAGACCAAGGACCAAGACCAAGACCAAGACCAAGACCAAGACCAAGACCAGGACCAAGACCAAGACCAAGACCAAGACCAAGACCAGGACCAAGACCAAGACCAAGACCAGACCAAGACCAGGACCAAGACCAAGACCAGACCAAGACCAAGACCAAGACCAAGACCAGGACCAAGACCAGGACCAAGACCAAGACCAAGACCAAGACCAAGACCAGGACCAGGACCAGGACCAGGACCAAGACCAAGACCAAGACCAGGACCAAGACCAGGACCAGGACCAGGACCAAGACCAAGACCAAGACCAAGACCAAGACCAAGACTGTAGTTGTAGTTGAAGTTTCCTTGAGTAAATTCAGGACGTGTTTCCTGGTTCAGTTTGATTTCAGGAGCCTGATGTCCCTGTGTGTCACAATTATGACCTGGTTTAGTTCTGGTTTAGTCCTCAGTCCAGTCCTGTCACTATAACAACCCTCATGTTTTCACAAAGACCAGAGCCAGGACTAAAACCAGACCAGAGACCAGAGCCAGGACTAAAACCAGACCAGAGACCAGAGCCAGGACTAAAACCAGACCAGAGACCAGAGCCAGGACTAAAACCAGACCAGAGACCAGAGACTAAAACCAGACCAGAGACCAGAGCCAGGACTAAAACCAGACCAGAGACCAGAACCAGGACTAAATTGTCTTCATCGACTACAGTTTGTCTTTTAACACAATAAAACTGGACGTCCTGATCCCCAAGTCGTCCAACCTGAGGCTCCCTCCATCCACCTGCTCCTGGATCAAGGACTTTCTGCTCAGTCGACCCCAGCAGGTGAAACTGGGTCCCACCATCATCCAGCCGCACTCTGTGTGCTGAGCCCACTCCTCTACTCACTCTACACTCACGACTGCAGTCCCACCTCCAGAACATCAGGGTCAAACTCTCTGATGACACGACGCTGGTGGAGCTGATCACAGACGGGAATGAGACGCCTACAGAGACGAGCTCCTGAAACTCAACCACTCGTGTGAAAACAACAACTGGACACTGAACATCACCAAGACTAAAGAACTCATCCTGGACCCCCCCTGCCTCCTCCAACATCAACGGCCAAAGTGTGGAGCCACTGGAGACCTTCAAATTCCTCGAGGTTCACGTCTCTGTGGATCTGTCCTGGTCAGTCAACACCTCAGTCGTCCATTTTATTGACGCTGTATAAATAAAACTGAATTACAGGAAATGTCCCGTCTTCAGTGTCCCCAGTGTCACAGAGGTGAAGAGTGCGCCCTCTAGTGGAGCATTATTTGGGAGAAGACATGGGCCTGTCTAGATTTAGTCACTGTGTATTCAGAGCGGGGGAGGGGCTGTGCTCTGCTGTGGGAGGGCATCTGGATGAACCATGAACATGTTATGAACCTTCAACTTTGATCATCCTAATATATTTCCAAATAAAAGACGTCTTGAGCAGGTCACATGTTGTTTTTCAGTGAACTCGTTTGAGATTTATTTTGATGATTGTGGCAGGTGAAGGCGTCACACCCTCAGTCTGCTCCACTCACCTGAGACTGAGGAATGAAACTCGTCTGGTTTAGAGCTCCACGTCCCACACTCGGACCAGATCTAAGATCAGAGCAAAGATACCACCCCTGATGTTTGAAGGATTTACAGGTTGGACAGGTTTTGTTTCACACACTGAGTCATTCCACTGTGTACTTTGTACTTCATTTGTATTTGATTGTCTTTTCACAATGTGGATTTACACGATAATTAGGACAATCAAAGGAATTTACAAATTGTCCATATTAAGTCAAATCTGAATGTCCAATGTCCATAGTTCGACATTTCCACATTTCTCATTCCTACTGACACAAACTAATGTCATTTTCATCAGAACAAGTAATTCAAAAAAATAAAATCAATCATTGTAGTTTTAAACCGGGGTGTAAGTTCAGTCTTTGTTATCCAGACACTCGTACAGGTTCTACACAAACTCACATCTATGTTGTGTAATATAATGTATCCATCATTTCCAAATTTTCTTAAATTTATGACCTTCCAATCCAAGTGAGACGGTGAGTTTTTCCAAATGATAAATACTTCATATTATATCAAACCACTGTTCTATTTTCGGCCTCCGATCACTTCACCATCTCCTGGTAACTACTTTTGTACTCAACAACAACATCATTCTGAACATTTTATAATCTTCCATCTTTTTAAATTCAGAATATCAATTATACCAAGATACATCATTTCAAAAGTCACTGGAATATTGATTTTAAAAACCTCATCAATCACTTTTTTTATATCCAGCCAATATTGCTGAATGTACTTTGTACTTCAACAACAACAAGTCCAAAAAAATGAATAAATCTGACACAAAAACATGAATCAAACTGAAAAACACAAGAAGGAACTGGAGTAAGTAGTAGTAAGTAGTAGCAGTAGTAGTAGTAGTAGTAGCAGTAGTAGTAGTAGTAGCAGTAGTAGTAGCAGTAGTAGTAGCAGCAGTA